TGTGGGGTCCCTGAATGTGTTGGTGTTGATGTTGATTGTCCTGAATCTCTTCTCTGGTTAGCGTTATCCATTTTCCGCTATTCAACCTGTGGTATATCGTCTTCTGAACTGTCTGATTCATGTCCTCGTTGTAGTGTTGTCGTTCTCCGGTACGTCGTTTCAGTCACTTGTTCCAGCATTTGATTTCTATTTTGTTCTCGTTCAACTATGTTTATGGTCTTTCTCGGTTTTTCCTCCATTCTACTTTTTCTTTCTTGATATTGTTTTCTAGTATCGTCGACCGATTGTTTGCAATGAAAAAGTTTGCTTAAAGTGTTTGGGTCACAATTTGAGAGACGTGAGTTTTGACCGTTTTCGTTCAGGTCGAGCCCTGTTTGTTTTTGAACAGAACTGTTGTTATAGCAACCGCGGGATGACGCATCGTTTAATTCGTCCAATGTGTCCCTCAACCCAGAATGTTTTAGAATATTTTCATTCTGATTTGTGTTTACTGTATCGTTTAGCCGACTGCTTAAGCACTCGAGTGCTTTATGAAAACATTCAATCGACGCGACAACGAATTTTTCATCTAAGTATGTCTCTGGCCACGGTTCCCCGCTCGGCTCTCTTGACATATAGTCCAGAATCCCCATGTCTTTACATGGTATATGTACCACTCTAAATTGGTAAGGTAATAGCCTATCTACCCACCTAGTGAGTCGAGATTGGTACGTTTTGTTAGATTTATATTCTCCTAGTGCTGATGTAAGAGCTTTGTGGTCTGTAGCTAATATGCATTCTTTTCCCAGTAGATAGTGTTTAAATCTATCTACCGCCCAAACTACTGCGAGCAGTTCTAACTCGTTTGTCGAATACTTCTTTTCTTGAGTGTTAAGATAACGTGATGCGAACACAATAGGTACCCATTCGTTATCATCTGTTTTCTGTTCTAAAGTTGCTCCGAGGCCACTGTGACTTGCATCACACTTTACTCGAGTATCCTTTTTGGGGTCATAGTAATGAATTTGTGCGATCTTTGCCACCGCGTTTTTTATTTCTTCGAAAATCAAAGAGTGCTGTTCCCCCCATTCAAATTTTTTCACGGGCAATTTAATTTTTTCATCTTCCTTTTCTCGTTTTCTTCTCTTAACAGTGGTCTGAGCTGATCGGTTAAGCTGGCAGCGTTAGAAATGAATTTAAAAAGATGGTTAATGCTACCCATAAACGATCTTAATTGTTTTAGAGACTTCGGGTGTTGCACTTTTAGTATTGCCTCTGTCTTGGTGACTTTTGGTGTTATTACTTCTGGAGTAAGTTTGTGAACTAACCAGTTCACCTCTGTTTGAAAAAATGCGCATTTTTCCAAATTTAACGCTAGCTTTTCATTATCCAATTTCTTTAAAACGTCGGTTACTAGCTGTTCATGTTCGGGTTTTTCCCCCTCTGTTACGATCAGAAAGTCATCAAGAAAGCAGAAGGTGTTTTTTGCATGATTTAGTGTTCGATCCATGGTTTTTTGAAATTCTGCTAGTCCGTAGAACCCGGTTAGAAGCCTATATGTTCTTGATGCCTGCCCACCCACTATGTTAAAGTTACACTGCTTATCTGTTTCAGCAATTTGGTCTAATTTGACCATAAGCATATTTCAGATCCAATACCGTGAAATACAACGTACCGGCTGTTTTGGCAGTTACTATTTGACTTACTCCATCCAATAATCCACCAACATTCGGCATCTGATATTTGTTGTTATACAGTTGCTTATTTATGAGTTTTGCATCTAACGCCAATTTAATGGAACCGTCTTTTTTTACGGTAACTACTATTGGAGCAATGAAGTCACTTGTGCATTTGTCAAGTTTTGTTATATGACCCTCTGATAACAACTTCGATAGTTCTGCTTGAACTTTTTCTTGTATATGTATAGGATTCCTCCTACCTTTTTCTTGAATGGGGCATAGTGGGTATTTTAATTTTGTGTTAACCACGTGATTTTTTTATTCCTCTTTTCGATCAAACAGGGACTGGAACTTTTGGTAAAATTGATGCTTCATACCTTCCGACTGCTCGCACAGTAGCACGTCAAATCTGGATTTTTGTGAAAGTGCTGACTTCTGTGACGTCTGTATTCCCAATTTTCACTGTAAATCTAATCCCACAATACATCGTGCTCGGCGTACTGTCACTAATAACGATTCGTCTTGCACATCCCATCCGCTGACCTTATACTAGTACATAAAGCTCCTAGTATTTGAATTGGTTGTTTGTTATAATCATCAAACTGTGTCGTCAGGTTCAGTTCTTCAGCTGGGATGAATTTTAACTTTGGAGCTCCCTCCATCAGTTGTTTTGCCGTTGTCCAATTCAGAAACGATATTGCACTTCCCCTATCGATCGTCATATTTATAATATGTTTGTCGATTCTTACTGACGCCCTCAATGCTTTTATTTGATGTGATTTTGGGTCTCTTCTAATGTCAGTTTTTCGAATAACCGTTGTATCTTTTATCACACTGTTGTCTTTGACTCCTGATATTATTTTTCCAATTTCTTCAGGCCAATCACGTAACCTGGGTTCGACCACCATGATTTCGAAGTCCTCACAGGAATCAAAACTGTGAATTAAGTTGCACTCTTCTTCCGAACTAGAGTTTTCTTCAGTAATCTCGTTCACTTGGTTCGATCGACACATTTTTGCAAAATGGTTTTGCTTATTACAGCTTTTAAACGTTTTACAGCTGGAGAACTCTTCAGATGTCCTTCCCCAAATGTTCTGCCACATGTGGTACATGGTTTTTTCTCAGTTCTGGTTTTTGTGTCTTTGGTATCGTTTTATTTCTTTTTGAATTGATCCCGATTCGATCTCCTGTAAATCTGATTTTTATTTTCAACAGCCATAATTGGCTCCTGTTTTATTTTAATCTGCGGCCCAAAAAATTGTCCTCCATTTGAGCTTCCTACTACCGATTTCTGAAATGCTTGTGTCGTTTGCTAGCTTTGTTCAAATTTAATAGCTCGTTTGAGTACTTCATCTGATGCGAACGTTTCAAATGTCAGTGTATTTTGAAGTGCAGTATTCTTCATTCGTGATATGAATAGATCTCGCACCAATTCTTCTTCCAATCCACCCAATTTGGCCCTAGCTGCTTGTGAAGTTAAAGCCGCATGGAAAGACTCCAAAATCACTCCAGATTCTTGTGTCCTGGTGAATAATCTGTATCTCTCATACGTAATGTTTTTCGTTTTTTCAAGTGATACTTGAGCCAATCTCACCATATCTCTGAACTCAAGTTTTGATATTTCAATAAGTGGTTTTTTCTGTACGAATTTCTTCTTTCCTTTTGGCCTAACGCCAGAAACAAACAAGACGTAAGTCGTTTTTGAACTTCGTTGTAAAACACATTATGTCCTACCTTGGGTCCGCGTTCCCTTCTCTCTTCGTTTTCGAGTATTACTTTGTCTCTTCTTAGTCTATCTCTCGCCTCCCGATCCGTTACTGCCTGTGCAGTTTCAGTTTCTCCTGGGGTTTCAGGGCGAGGCATTGGCTCATCAATGACTTCTTTCGGTTCTTCTAGTATTATCTCAGGATTCACACTTTCTCTGACCGTCACTGCTAGCATAAATTGATCCAACCAAATTTCGAAATTTCACGGTGGATCCGAGCTAGCTGAGGTCCAGAACACTGGTGTACCCATGTCCGTTCGATTATCCTGTGCAATGAATTCTGCTGGCTGTGCCATGTGGTAATGCTATAAGCTCAATTGAAAATGATATAGTTTCAAGAGTTTAATTCAAACCGAAACTTTGTTTTCTTTCATAATCTGCGGTTCCGTGAACCAGCTCAATAGACGTATCTTGGTACGCATAGCTCAACAACTAACTAAAGTCTAAACAGCGATCAACACTCCATGACCTTGACATAACTTAACAACAATATATATAATTACAGAAACCGATATGCGTTCCAAGGTTAGTGTGCAGCGAGGTTAACATGGTTACTGCACATGCAATCTGTGCTGTACCAAACTGCCCTGCTATGGTACCATTTTTTGAATTCAATGTTTTTTTGGCCAAAATGTAATTTGGCATTAAAAATATGTCCAGCGCAAAAACTAATTTATCAACCTGCATCTTACAGGGGAGGATTTAGGGAGTATGGAAAACAAACGCCCCCACTCCCCCCCCCCCTCAGAGATTTGCCCCCATGTCAACCAAAGTGTCCTCCTTTGATAAAGTTTTAAGACATCCATTTTCGGCTGACCAACCCAAAAGTTTTCCTAACGGCGCCTTAATAGAAAATAGCAAAAAATATACCTTTATTTTTTGCTAAATAGCAAAAAGATAAAAGCAAAAAATATACCTTTGGCAAAAAAAATATATCAGATTTTTGGTCACAAACGGGGAGTGGTTGGAAAGGTCGACCTAGCAAATAGGTCAACAAAATTTTTGAGAAGTTTTTGAAAATCCCTTCTCGAGAAAACCCTAGATCCGCTCCTGCTCTAAATCAAGATTAGTAATAACCTCCAGAGAGGAATGCTTAAACTTGAAATACAAATCTTTCAAGATTTCTTGCAGGACACTATGCAAGAAAATACTTTATACTTACTTTGTTTGACAAGATGAGTGCAATTTTTTTTAATCTTTCTAGATAAGCATTCTGCTTGCAGGAAATACACAAGATTTTAAATTTTAACCAAAAATGTATGTGTTTGTTGAAATATTTTGCTGTTTTGGATGAGATGAGTGCTTCTTGTAGTTGATGCTGCTCTCTAGAAGATGTTTATAAAAATCTTACTCTGAGAGAGCTGAACAATGTGAACCTCAAGACGATTGAAGCATGAGGTAAAGTCACGAGGGCATGAAATCCGAAGTTTTCAAAATTATTTACATGAAGTTTTAAGAAATTGTTCAAAATAGGCACACTAATTCATTCTTCTTAAGCGATCCCAAAATGAAGAGAAAATTATTGAGCAATTAGTATGGTGTTGTTGATAAAAAAAGGAGAAAAAATAAGCACTTACCTGTCAATAAAAGTAGTGAATACATCAAATCTGTTTTTTTTTCTATCAAAATGGCACAACCAGAGTCTTTTTTCATTAATCTTATGACAAGTTGAGCAAAATGTTAAATTTTATAAATTGCTTGAATGTGACTGGTCTATTGTCTATTTGTTCGAGCTTTGCTGATTTAAAGTCAAGGTTTTTTATTGCATTATTTGTTGCAAATAAGTATTGGTTTGAACATTTCGATTTCAAAGGCCTAGCTGAAAGCTGTATTCAGTAAACGTAATTAAGCTTTTCAATGCAATCGACGGTTTTTTAGAGCTTACTCATTGCATTAGCTTTTCAATGAAGCCCATAATAATTTTTCTCATTCCAGTTAATTCCAAGTTGATTTTATGGCAAGTCAAAAGCGAAATTTTTTTAAACATTGGACTAACTCATTCTAAACATGCAATTTTTTTTCATCTGAAGTCTCTCGCCCTTTTCTTGAACATACCTTTCTATCTTTTGCAGTAGCAGTGTTTCGAACACCGGGTGCATAATCAACTCCACCTACTTCACTACTGATAATTTCTTTCTAGTCAAAAAGAATAATTTTAGCTCTGCAAAGTACAAAAATTATTTTTCTGCTCCTTAAAACAATCAGTTTTTACCGACTGAAATTTTTTTAACCTAATTTGTAAAGCACTGAACAATTATCTTATGTTCCACGTACTTTGTATTGAAAAAAATTTAGTCTAAAGTATATCAAAAATATCATCGCAGCCATAATATATGAAAGCATTTTTATCCTCATTTAACCCTGATCCAAAACCTAACGGTCTGCATACCGATTAGAACATCAGCGATTTATCAAAGCTGAAGTTGCTTCACAGACTTCATACTTAGCAATATATATATTGGAACTTAAGAATTTTTTTTGATAATTTCTTTTCCTTAAATCTTGTACAAGCTCAGATCTCGCCGCGACGGATTACAATCTCCCCAAGCAACAAAAAAGTATCTACAAACTTATAGAACACCACATTATTTAAGTTTGTCAAATTGAACAGTTTATCAGTTTCTATCGATCTTTTTCTCTTTCGCTCTCTTTCGCCCTCTTTCTCTCTCTTTTTCTTTCACTCTTTCTTTTAAACGTCGTGTCTATATCATTCTCTCTTTCTTTCTCTAGTGTGCTTCCTTCGGTTTTGACTCGTGACTTCTTTGTGACTCCAGCCTCAATGCCTTGTCTCAATGACTTGTCTTCTCTCAGTTTTGCTGTGTTGTTTAGCTGCCAGTTCACTATCATCCTTGGGACTTTTTTTCCTCGGTTTTCTTTTTTTTGATGTGAATTTACTTAAGTCAACAATTCACCGCAAGCTAGTCAAAATCTTTGTTAAGTCAGTCATTCTTTAATTGTGACACGTAATTTGGGAGCGTGGAGCAAAAATTTTTACAGGTTGGTGGCAAAACTAGGTATAATCAACAGTCAAATTAGAGAGCGATAAAAGAGTAGTAAAGCAACTTCTATGTATATGGAAATTTCAACGCGTTTTAAGATCTGATTTCGTGATATGACATCGCGTGATATCGCTTGACATTGTGCAATATCCAATCATGTTCCTAATTTGAATCGAAAAGTGAAAAAAGACGTCTTTATAAAGTAAGAAGTCATTTCTCCAAAACTTAGTTTTTTCCAATATATTTTCTTGAGTTTCATCGCGGATCCTATTATCTGAATTTCAAGGTCTGGATCTAACCACTAGATTTTGATTGATTTGATATAATTCTCTTGATCTTGGTTCATGGACTTTGTTCGCTAGGTTTCGATCTTAGTGTTTAATATCCTCAAACTGCTTTCCTGATGTGGCTCACCTGTTATGTATTTTTGAACCTGTTTCTCTGGATCAGTTTTCATGTTTTTCCTTTTCAAGCATTTAGCTTTTCTGTTTTAAAAAAAAACCCTGAAAGCTCCCGAACTTTAAAGAATCCAATTATCAGTGCTTATTTAGCAAATAACTTTGTTACCTTTCACAGTTTTTGAAGTTAATTTGCATTTTCTTGGTCAGACTTTGCATAAACCTGGCAATCATTGTTTGGTCGAAATTAGTGTTTTACTTTTTCAACAATCAAAACTTTACTGCCCGAGTCGAGATTTTTCACCTGATTTGAAACAATATTTGAGCGGTTTGAGCTGTTCTTTTAGCGCTCAAAATCTTGCTTCAAACTGAGCGGTTTGAGCGGTTTATCTAAATAAATTGCTCAAAACCGCTCAAATCTTGCGCGGTTTTTGAGCGTTTTTTAGCGTTCAAAAACCACTCAAACCGCTCATTTCGAAGCAAAATTTTGAAGCAAAATTAGGTATCATCCACAGTTGAATTCGAGAGCACTAAAAGATTAGTAAATCAACCTCAATGTAGTAGTTAGATCATGGTTGAAAGATGCCCGAGAGAAAAAGAGCCCGGGCTGAGGGCTCGAAGTTGCCGATGGCGGCTATTTTGCCCGATGCTGTTTTCAACTGTTCTATGAGAGAAAGATGCCGGAAAATTGTGAAAAAGCCGGGAAAATTGCTAAAAAGACCGAAAAAGTTTGCAAAACTATGCAAATAATTTCTTTTTTATTCATGCCTTCTCATATTTCAATTTTCATTCATGCCTTGTCAAGGAAGAACATGTGTGCAAAAGCAATAACATACTCTTCATATATGAAAAGTTAAACGCCTCTTGATTTTTGATCTCGTGAAATAAAATCGCGTGATATTGCGTGACATCGTGCAAAAATCAATCATGTTCTGAATTTGAACTGAAAAGTGGGAAGCGACTTTGTAATCTGTAATGTAAGAAGTTATTTGTCAAAGTTTTAACACATCTGCTTCCATTTTACGAAATGCGTTTTATCCCACACTAGAATGGAGATTCTGTTTTACCATGTCCCGTACGATTTTAGTTGAGAGCAAAATCAGTATTTTCTGTCCTAGCTCAAAAACCCTGATTAATTCGCTTGCTCTGCTTTCAAGCTTCTTACCCTCTAATATCTTTGAACCTTTATTCAAGTCCATACTCTGAAGTTTTACAACCTCATTGATGCTTCTCGACTCCTCCTTTAACGGTTCATCTATGGAAGATTTAGTTTTTGGATGGGCTCTTAACTCATTTTGCAGCTCAACGTATTTCACTTTATCATCGTGTTTCTAATCAAATTCTAAGTATGCTTACAAAAAAATCTCAAACTACTCTTCCGCTTTCCAAATCCCCTTTATTTTCCAATTGAAAAGATCTTTTTGCTCACTTAGAGGATAAATGGTTCCATTTCCTTGCTCAAGACATAGCTTTTCTCCAAAAACAACTCTAGCTCTTCCTCTAAAAATTTTTGAGACTGACACTAAGTTCCCTGAATTCGCTGATAAAAAGAAACAATCACTTATTGTAACGTTTTCAAAAATTACTTGGGAGTCTCTCAAAGTTCATTGAACTCTCCTTTCTACTAAGACATAAGAGTCCGTTTTATTAGCATTTGAAACAAATCTACTAAAATTTTTGTCCAGAAAGTAATGTTTTATCCTTTATCATATTGCAAATTGCACTTAAACCTATAACTAAGTCAACCTCAACTCAATCAGTTGAGTTGTATGAACTAAAATGAATTTCATTGCTTTCAGCCACTCGTTGCTCTTCCCTTGTGTTTTTCCTTCTTACAATCCCTCGCTACTTGTCCTAATTCTAAGCACCTGAAACTTTCCACAGGATTCTTATCACTGATTGAGTGGTTCACCTTATTCACTAGCTTGGATCTAAAAGGATCTAAAAAGTGTCATAATTTAATGCACCTAAAACACGCTTTTTCCTATGAAATAAACGAATGTTGAATCACCTCCTATGATCGTTTTCAAAACAAGTCAAGTCTTTCTTACTTTCGGTCAAAAAAAAGTACTAAGTTATTGGGAAATGTCTTTAAGGATGATACAAACAGATATTTTTTCACTTAAACTCTCGCCTACTTCATCTAAATTGTAAATCAACTCTTCAGCTCTAGAGTTATATTCGTCAACACTCTCGTTAGCTATCATTCTAATAGAGGTTAATTCTGAAATCATATGTGCACTCTCGGTCGCTCAGTGCTTTTAAATTTTTTACTCAAAACTTCCCAAGCCTTGTTTCCCTTGCCTTTATGGCAAGTCAAAAGCGAAAAAATTTTTCTAAACATTGGACTAACTCATACTAAACATGCAATTTCTTTTCATCTGAAATCTCTCGCCCTTTTCTTAAATATACGTTTCTATGTTTTGCAGTAGCAGTGTTTCAAACAACGGATGCATAATCAATTTCATCTATTTCACTCCAAATAATTTCTTTCTAGTCAAAAAGAATAATTTTAGCTCTGCAAAATGCAAAAAAAATTTTTTGCTCCTTAAAACAATCAATTTTAACCAACTGAAACATTTTCAACCTAATTTGAGATGCTCTGACCAAATATCTGATGTTCCACGTACTTTGTATTGGAAAAAATTTAGTCCTAATTATATCAAAAACAACATCGCAGCTATAATATATGGAAGCATTTTTATCCTCATTTAATCCTGATCCAAAACCTAACGACCTGCGTACCGATTAGTACATCAGCGATTTATAAAAGCTTAAGTTGCTTCACAGACTTCATACTTAGCAATATATATATTGGAACTTTAGAAATTTTTTTGAAAATTTCTTTTCCTTAAATCTTGTACAAGCTCAGATCTCGCCGCGACGGATTACGATCTCCCCGAGCAACAAAAAAGTATCTACAAATTTATAGAACACCACATTATTTAAGTTTGTCAAATTGAACAGTTTATCAGTTTCTATCGATCTTTTTCTCTTTCGCTCTCTTTCGCCCTCTTTCTCTCTCTATTTTTCTCTCTCTTTTTCTTTTAAACTTCGTGTCTATATCATTCTCTCTTTTTCTTTCTCTAGTGTGCTTCCTTCGGCTTTGACTCGTGACTTCCTTGTGACTCCAGCTTCAATGCCCTGTCTCAATGACTTGTCTTATCTCAGTTTTGCTGTGTTGCTTAACTGCCAGTTCACTATCATCCTTGGGACTTTTTTCCTCTGTTTTCTTTTTTTTTGTTGTGATTTTACTTGTGTCAACAATTCACCGCAAGCTCTGTCAAAATC